TCCGTCTTCTAGCCGTTGTTCAAGATTTCAAGATTGTAGCACTTTACTCTGTTTGTCTTCTAGTGCTTGTTTAGGAATTCTGGACAGGTTCTTCAATTTTTAGAGATTCAGACTTTGTCTTCGAGTCATTTGTTCTTGAATCAGCATAATTATCTTCAATCTAGCCGTTGAAAATCAAGAGATTGATTTTTCCTTACCAACGGGTAGAATTTCTTCATTCAATACTTAGATAATTTTCTAAGTCTTTTCTCACTTGTCCGTTTTTTGAGAATTCCGGTCTTCCTTGAGGCATCCGGTTCTTAGCTGACAAATCCGGAGAAGTCATTCTCAGACTTCCGGGTGAGAGAGAGATACGCGCTAGTCTTCCGATTTGGGTGACTTAGCCTTCAGCGGGTTGTAGCGAGACATCCGATTCTTATGTAGTCTTCCGGAACGGAGGATTTTCATCTGCTTGAGAAATCCTTACTTGTCTCTAGCTTTTCCGATTAAGATATCCAATTTCCATATCACTGAATTTGATTAAGTCTTCAGGCATCAAAACGCTTAAAGAAATATCACAACCTTATTGGAAAACTCAAGAACTTGGTTTTAACAATATTTCTAAAAAGAAAAATTACATTGAATATTGGGGGAGACCTAAAGTCCCTATTACATTCTAAATACATCATCATCAAAATCTATGATATTTTTCCCAACAGATCTAAACATGACTGATACGTTGATGGGCATCAATCCATTGGCTAGATCACTATGGGGCTCTTTGATAATTGAAATAATACTCTAATAATATTCAATTCATACTTTTTAAAAAGAATATAAATATTGAGTTACCCAAATATTATGAGTTTTTAAGTACTAATAATTTTATTGTGAGTACAAATATGCATACAATTTCTTTTCTATGTGTTTTCCTTTTTTAATCATCAGCTAATTAAAAGTGTGTGTATGTGTGTGTGTGTATATATATAACATTCAAAGTTTTTCATTATGTGTCATAGTCCAAAACTCCATTTGAAGAGTGATTTCCTTATAAATAGCTCTCATTTGAACGGGCTCCCCCCAAACACACATGCCACATCCAGTTTCCATAAAGCCCAGGACAAAGCTTCGAAGAACCCCTTTAGCCCTTTTACAGCTAGCATAGAACCACCGCTCCAAAAGATGTTGTCTAAGGGTAATTCCTTCTCTCCAAAATGGCTTGTCCAAAATCGAAGCATAGTGTCTCCAAAATTCTTGCGCTCAAGTACATTGAACTAAAGTACGGTTCAAACTGTCTTCAGCAAATATTGAAAAATATAGATACAATCATTTTTAGGTGAATTTAGCAATACTATCATTATTATAACTCGTATTATTATTACACAACAATTCTTTTGACCTTGGAACCCGAGTCATATTATTATGATTCGGAACACCTATGGTGTTGCATCGTAAAATTGATGGTTCATACCTACTTAATTCCTCTCAAAGACTACCCTATGTCCCCTAATTGTCCACCCCACCACAATCAATCGGCAAAATGGAGAGAAGGGTAGGGGGTGCTGTGGTAGGGTGGGCAGGTAAGAGGCAGGATTTAGGAGAGTTAGAAGTATAAATCATTAATTTTACGAACGGAACACAGTAAATATCCTAATCATAATTTGATCCCAGATTCCACGTCAAAAGATTTATTAATCAATCAACCTACCCAAACGAAACTTAAATAAAAGTTCTTCTAAAACCCTAATCAGGTAAGTTACCAAAATGAGAAAATTATGCCAAAGATTTATTTATGACTGCGGAAACTGCAACCATCTTACAGTAATTTGAATCTCAAGCAAAATTCTTGCTGAAGATTCTTTGTCATTCCGCCGCCGAGACTGGACTATACCTAGTAACATTCAAAAGAAATTTAAACTATCCAGTGTTTAATCGGAGTTATGGCGGAGAAGAACGGAAGCGGCGGCGAAAGCCCTCTTGAGCTATTCCTAAAGATAGGATTGGATGAACGGACGGCGAAGAACACAGTCGCGAACAACAAAGTTACAGCTAATCTGACTGCTGTGATCCATGAGGTAAATTGCTTCGCCATGAAATTCCGATTTCCCTTTTTTATTCCCATCGTTGGCTATATTGTTCAATTCATCATTATTTTTTGATACTCGTCTTCTATTCATTTCCTGGTAATAAGACTTTTCCACTTCTGCAATCAAAGTCACTAAGCAGCTAGTTGTTTGAACAGATTATATAATTGCGTATTGCTGATGGTTCAAATTTCAAAAGAATGTCATATGAAGAGGAATAGTTGAATGCAAGTAAAATTTTAGATTTTAGGTGGTTTAACATATTAATTCTTGATCATTAAAAAAGAAAGCAGGGTTCTTTACTCTCGAGTACTCTGTACGTACTCAATTTCCGATTTACTATATCCACTCTTGCTGGACTGAAGGATCTTTAGCAGAAGTAGTTGTCAATTCTGAATAGGACATATATGTTCGTGTGTGTACTCATAGGGGCAGGGATGGATAAATAATTTACACGCACTGCAATTATTACGATTAGAGGAGTAGAGAATGTGTGACCGATGAGATAGACAGTCAAAAACTAAGATAGAGTGTGGTTCATGTGAGTTCCTAACCAGCACAAATGCGAGAGAAAATTTGAAGTTCTGACTTCTCATTTTTCAATGAGAAAATTGTGATCAGATGTAAAATTTGAGGAAGTTGTTATGAATACTGAGAAATTGAGATAAGTCAATGATAATTGCAGGCAGCTGTAACTGATGGTTGTGATAGAAGCACTGGGAACCTGTTATACACGGTAAGGTGACCTATTTTATTTGTAATGTTTTCTGTTTCAGAACTAAGCTTTTTTAAGAATGTTTTTTTTTTTAAATTCTGGATGCACAATATTTGTGTACATATACAAATCATTTTTTTGTTGGGCAAATAATTTAGAGCTATGTTTAGCTTGATGTTAGAGCTAAAGACTATACACAATTTTTTAAAGAATGAACCAGGCTTTGATTATATTTAACAAGTTTAGCACAATTCCGAAGGACTCACATGGTCTGATATTAATTTTTTGCATTATAGGTTGCGACAAAATTTCCAGCAAATGCTCTTGTACATAGACCCACATTGCTGAAGTATATTGTCTCATGCAAGGTTTGCACTTCAGTTATTTGTATTGTGGTGTATTGATTTTCTGTTTATTATTATTATTATTATTATTATTTAAGCAACCTTTGGTTGATGTAAATCATCATCATTACTACAACTGGCATCATAAATGGATATTGATTTGTTTTATTCCAAATTTGATTGATATCAAAGCATTGAATTTTTTGTTAAGATATAATAATGGACTCATTGTTTTCAACACTTTCATCTGGAATAACTAGAAACTTTATCCCTGCAGATCAAAACCTCTGCTCAGTTGGATGCTGCATTCACGTTTCTTATGGCTAATGCTTCGGGGTCTTTGAAGGTCAATGAATTTGAGGAGGCTTGTGGTGTTGGTATGTAAACCACATACTATACTTTTTTTTCTTCAAATCTTTGCATTGAAATTCTTTTTATAGCATAAAGAATTGCTAGGGAAGCGAGTAAACAGAATATGTATTTTTCTTTCCAATTTGTTTCCATTTTTATTCATTAATCTATTTCTCCAGTATAAGCTCTAGTTATCTTGATTTACTTGATAGCCCCGGATTACTAGTAGTTCCTTTTTATATACTTACTATATACTTTTAGGAATATATCATTTATGAGGATTTTGACAGGAGTTGAAGTGTCTACGGAAGAAATAGAGCTCATAGTTCATGACATTTTTGAAGAGAACAAGGCCAAGATATTGGAGCAGCGTTACAGAACAAATGGTAGGTATTTCTTGCTTATATAATCTCACGTGTGAAGCACTGCAGGATGCAACACGTTCATGCACGGCAAATCTAGGTTCGGTATGAATGTATCTTCATGGACCCATGTTAAAACTATACGGAGTACTAGTAATTTTTAATTATACAACAACAAACCTAGTGTAATCCCAACTACATTAGGACCTGAAGGTCAAGATGTATGCAGCCTTACCCTTGTAGAACAGTGAGGTTGTTTCCTTTTAACCCTTGATGCATTTTTTCTTAAACTTCAACAACATAAATTAATTTTCCTTTTTTAATCTAGTTTATTATTTACCTGAAGTTAATAATTGTTAAAAGTGATTACTTTAGCACTATTAGCAATGCATGAATAAAATAATATTTTATCAAAGTAAATTTTCACGGATCAGTGAAAATATTTCTAATACTAAATCTAGAGTAAAATAATGTTTTAGGCACAAATGCTGCTTCATGTAATGAGAGATGAGTAAGGATCATCTACGTTTTGTCTTTGTTGAAAATGTATTCTTTATATATGACATATATCTATTCGCAATTAATAATCCTTAAAAATGTATTAATTTTTCTCATGAACGAGAGGTTCTCTGTTCCATTCTATCCCCTATAGGCAATAACCATTTACAAGATTTTTTTGGTATTATATACTCCCCCTGTCCCTAAAAACCCTTCATGTATTGACTTTTAAGGGATTTAAAGAGTGTATTTTGGTATTGACTTTCCAAAAATGTCTTTGTGTAAAAGTAGGATGTGAATGGTAGATTAATAGTGGATAGATAGGTAAGGTAAGAATTATTAGGGGTAAAAGTGACTTTTTAATAGAAAGTGGAAAGATTTTTTGGGAGAAATGAAAAGTGAAAGAGGAAAGGTTTTTAGGGACATAGGGAGTATTAGAAAAAAGTGGTAGAAAATGTAAATGAATGTATAGATTATTTTGATGATAGTTATATTCCCGTTTGTTTTGTATGATGTCCATCACTTATGTGGTAACAATTTTTTATCAGTTCCTGTAACATTATTGATTGAATGATATCTTAGAGATGGCAGCATGTGAAATCTTTTAAATACATATGGTAACCTTTCTGATTACATTAGTATTCTTCTCTTGGCTCCAAGATGACATGAGTAACATCTTCCTTCTCTGTAGTTGGTGAACTATTTGCTGCTGTTCGTAAGAAGCAGCCATGGGCAGACCCTAAAATAGTCAAGGTAATAATAATTTTTTCCTTCTATTTTCTCTCATACCCAATGTTCTTAGGTTTGTCCTTTGAGGATGTGGGGGTTGGGGATTTAGTCATCAGCAAGTTATGACCAAGATAGCAGATACATGAATGCTTCACCACATGGGTCCTTGACTCCTTGCTCATAATATTTTAATATCAGTCTCTGCAAATGGACAAGCTTTGGTTTTACTCTAAAATATTTTATTTATTTCTGCTCAATTGTTTATTACTCCCCCGACCTAAAATTTTCTTCCTATATTTAATCGGAATAGTATTTAAGTGGAACTGAATGGTAGTAAATGATTTAAAAGTGACTACTGAGGGAAGAACCGAAGAAATATGAGCCACAAAAATATATCATTAAAAGTAAATAGGTAAATTTTAGGACAACCAAGAAAGAAAAAAATGGGAAGAAAAATTTAGAACTTCGGGAGTATTGTTTATTGCCTAGAGATGCATTCACATTTACCCAATTCCCCCACCCCACCCCACCCCACCCCAAGCAATGTTAAAGCAATACGCATTGAGGTGATCAAATGAATTTACAAAAGAGAAATTTTCTTATCTATTTGAAACAATGTTCAAAATGGCGTATTGCGGTTTTGAGGCATTTTTCCCCAAGCCGTATTGCGTAAGCCTCGAGGCGTACTGAGGCATAAGCTCGTTTTAAAGTACTAGGATAGTAAGATGTGCATAAAATACTGTTAAAATTAAAGATAGAACATTATTAATAACATAGTTAATCCATAATCATTAAAGAAGTATATTGTTAAAGTAAAATGTTTCAAACGCAAAAAAGTCTTCCATGACATAGTAGTATAGTACAAAAAATTGGTTGTTAGCAATAGACTTAAATTGTCAAATGCTAGGTCTGCCATTTCGCAATTTGTTTTTCTAAAAAGAAAAAACTAAAATTTATGTACATGAAATTTCAAGTTTTAATGGCAAAGGGGTAAAAATAAAAACTAAAAGCAATAAATGAATAGCAAATTAATGTGAAGAAATGTTATCACCAAACAAATATAAATGTTTAAAAGCAAATAAAAAGAAGAAAGGGGACCGAAGAAAAGATGAAGACCACCAAAGAGGGATGAAGTCTGAACACGTAAGACTATGTTGCACGGAAACGCCAGGTAGCATTCCGTACCCGTATCGGAGACCTTGGACACGCGGAAACGCGTAGGAGACGCCTGGAGACGTCTCAGAAACTCCAGCTGGTGTTTCCTTAAATTAAAATTTAAATAAATGCTGAGGGAGACGCGTCTCCCTTTTCCGAAACGGCTTGGACAACACGGGAGACGATATAATCAGAAAGAAAGAAGAGAATGTATCCAACCTAGTTGAATAGGAAAGTGGGAAAAAAGAAAATTTTAAAAAAAGAGAGAAGAAAAGAGTCGCAGAATCGAATATCGATCATTATCTCTCTTTTGCGGCGGCTTGCTAGGGTTTTTTTGCTTTCCCTGCTTTGCTTATTATATAGCCACTTCCTGTTAGGATCAAATCAAGAACACTCACAGAAATCCGATGAAGAAGGTGAAGAAAAAACGAGAGAGTAAAAGTAGAGAGAAAGTGAAACACGTGAAATAACGTGGTAACACCCCGTGAGTAAACTTCCACGGCGGCTAGATGTGTTTATTGATGATTTCAGGCAGATACAATTACAGAGAATTTGACTCTTGCCTCTCTACAAAAATTAGCTACAAAG